AAAGAAAGAAAGAAAGAAAGAGAGAGAGAGAGAGAGAGAGAGAGAGAGAGAGAGAGAGAAAGAAAGAAAGAAAGAAAGAGAGAGAGAGAGAGAGAGAGAGAGAGAGAGAGAGAGAGAAAATAGATAATAATATATTAATAATCCCAGTTCCCTCTTTTCTAATGTCATCAATTATTTTTAGTAGCTTTGTGCAGTTGGGTACCTTGTAAAAGAAAAAAAAAAAAGATATAAATCTGAAAATTGCAGGAAGAGGTTGTCAGACAGCTTTCTGGACATGTTGTAGTGCAGCACTTTGAGCTATAAAGCAAGAGATTTCCTCCTTCAGGCTAAGTCTCTCTTTGTTTATCAGCTTCTCAGCCCCTGGAGAGAAACAGACTACAGCATCATTTGCTTAGCTGGTAGCAAGCCTGGAATTTATGTCAGCTGGATGCTGACATAAGAGTAATGACTGAAGTTCACCTACTCAACACTGGCTTTTCTCTGCCAGCTGGAAGAGATTTGATGCTTTGAGGATTTACTGGGTTTTTTGAAGTAGAGATCAGAAGTCCAGTGACAGAAGCCAGGTACAAACCAATGGGTCATGGGCAAAGCTAGTTCCCTGCTGATCTCCAGGAAGAAAGATTGCATATCTAAGCACCTGAGTTACCACAAATTAGGAGATCGAAGTCTCCTGCAGTTTTCTTTTCTACAGTTTTCATTCCATTTCATGAAAGAGAATTTGCTTTTTAAAATCTTTCCAAGGAGAAGAGAATGTGGGATGTGGAGTTTTACTTATTGAATCATAAAGTGGCCAAGGATATAAGTTTGGGTATGAGCGCCTTGATTTTCATTGTTCAGACAACTCCCCAGTAGATGGACGTTTATCACTTCTATTCAATCTGGAGGGGAGACAAAGGAGAACACCCATCTCAGATGGCTTCTTCAGACCTGGAATGTCAGTCCTTTGATATAGGCTAGGCCAGGAAACATACTGTACAAGAACTAATGAAACTCTACTTTATTGTTGCAGGGTATAATAACAGAAATGTGACAGTGTTTCTCTCCCCCTCCTCTTATACCCAAGAGAATCAAGATGGGGCAATCTTGAACGTTTTTCCAACCCTTTCCTCTCTTTCAGGGCTCTGCTGGTGTTTATATAATTGCTCTTGAATTCCTTCTTCAAAGTCCTGTCCATCACGGGCTTCCTGTTTCTGCTAAGAGGGAGTCCTAATCTGGAGAAAAGCAGAGAAGTTGTCCACACAATATATCTGAATGACAAATACAGTGGAGAACTTTGAAGAGGTATTTACCCAGCTTGAATTTAAAAAATCTTTGGTGGTTTGGGGGGAACTGACCTTTCTTGTTGTCATCATTTTGAAAGAGTTGCTTAACATCAATGGTGGTGCTTTCTTCTCTGGTCTAAAGTACATTGACCTGCTAGCACCATGTCGAGTTATCACTGGAATCATAAGTCAAGGAATTTGGGCCAGAGGGAGGGGAGAAGCGTTTCATTGAAATTACTCAAAGTTCTACCACTGAATTTTGTTAACTAGTTAATTAGCACCATAAGCATTTTCCCAGCCTGAATAAAACTGCCTTCCAGACAAGTTAAGTTGCTTTTGGTGAAAGAAAAAAAAGGTAAGCATTCCATTTGTTTCCAGCGTAATTCAGCCTATTCTACAACCAAGTAGAATTTTAAGCCCTTCCCACACATCTCCATGTGTTTCCTAGATTCAGTATCACCTACACTTTGAGACCACATGGGAGGCCACATTCCAAAAAGTATTAGATTTCAATTACATGGAATAAAAATTTAATTAAATAAATGGAAGTTAATATGGTTGCTTCTCATTCTCATTCTCATTCTCATTCTCATTCTTTTTTTTTTTTTTTTTACTAATTTCCTCATTAGACCACATGGAAAATCTCAGTGTGGGGGAACTTATGGAGAGGGGCTTCAAAGTCTGCTTCCAAGCTAAGCAGATGCCACTTCCAGAGATGAAGCCTTGGATTGCTCCCCAATGACCTAATTTAACCCTGTAATTCTTGATGGGCATCAGCTCTTCAGAATCTCCAGCAGACAAGCTGGTGGGACAGAAGGTAAGATGATATGACCAGTTGCCATCCTTGCTTGCAGTCCTGATGGGGATCCTTTGGGAATGAAGGAAAACCCAGCAATCATGGACAAATCCCAATATCTAAAGACTCATCTACACTTGCCACATTTTCTGTCAGAGTGGATATCCTAGCACCAATTCCCATTAGCCCTGGCCAATTGGCTAGTGGTGAGGGATTTCAGTCTAAAACCACCACACCAAGATGACTATTTTTAGCTTATCTGAAATGAGAGTCCAAATTTGCAACTGTAACAGAAGGGAGGGAGAATGGGCACAGCTTGTTTACAGTATTAGTCCTAGATTGATTGTAATATCAGGTTTTGCCTTAGAAGTATGAAGTGCAAAAATAAAACACAGTGCACTTTACAGTAGCTCTCGCTTATTCTTTTATTCTTCTGTTTGGGGTTTTGAGCACCACAGTGGAAAAAAAATGAAGCTCTTCTGCATGTTAGAACTTTGCATGGATTTTTGCAGTTAACACTCCGATGACTAAATTATCCACTACTGACATTTGACTTCTTAAATGTGAAAATTAACGGTATCTGCGTACTCTACAGCAGAGTAGGAGGAAGCCAAAACATCAGACAAAATTCAAGAGGCCAACCAACCAAAAATGCTCTTTCAGAAGAACATCTCTTCCCCCTTCCCATCTCTGCAAACTTTTGCTTTTGCAAAAAGCAAAATGATATTTTACTCTGTGCTATGCTGGAAGGAGATATAAAGGCATTCGCTGAGCTAAAGGCAATTCCAAAATCGGTTACGCATCGCCAGAGGGAGCAGCGTCAAACTTACAAGCTACATTTCAAGAAAATAGAGTTACTTTTGGAATGACAGAAGCTGATGATTATGTACATCAGCCTTCCTCATTTTCTTGTCCTCAAAATCTGTCAGACTATATTTCTCATTATCCACAAACAACCCAGTAATGCTGGGAGGTGTACATAAGAATTTAAGATAAGTCTTACTTGATGACCAACTAAATGGGTATTCTTAATCAAACCAACCAGATGCATTCAGGAAGATGTATGTATCAACTGGAGAATGATTTTCCCCTTCCACTGTTGCTTCCCCAGATAGCATCTCTGAAATGGGGACTAGCAGACCAGTGGCTACTAGTCCCCATTTCAGAGATGCTATCTGGGATTAGTAGCCACTGATTAACAGATTCTCCATGAATTTGTCCAGTCTCCTTTTAAAACCATCCAAATTGGATGGCCATGAAACCTCTAGCTTGTATTGTGGAAAGAAGTACTTTTAAAATCTATCCTAACTCTCCGCATATTTAGTTTTAGTGGATGACCTGAGTTCTAACACTGAGTGTAGCAGAGAAGACCTTCCTTCTATCCAGAAGTAGCCCATCGACTCCAGATTTCTCAGTTCGGTACCCTCCAGACAGATTAGTTTTCATAAGAACATAGGAAGAGTCCTGAGGCTACCAAGGCCTATCTAAGCCAACATTTTAGGTCACATGGGGTCAACCAGATGCATTGAGGAGTTGTCAGGGAGGAAGATAGGAGTACAATAGTTCTCTTCCAGTAGCTGGTCCTTAAAATCTGCTCTTTGTATTTCTATGATAGCATGGAGCCATCAAAACTGATAACTGTTGGCAGGTTGATCCTCCATGAAGTTGTCCTTTCTCTTTTAAAAATAATCTAGATAGATCATTCCCACGATTTCATCAGAGGGTACCATTCCTTCCCCAATCAGCGTAGTCATTTTTAAAAAGCTGCAGTAGCAAAGAGTAGCGATGTCTTATTAGTTTCTTTTGGGGTTCATACACATACACAATTTCTTACCGTATTGTTGGACTTACCAGTAGCTTTTAAAGTTGGCTGCACTCCTAGCAAGAGTTTTAATCTTTTGGCATGGATTTTCCCTTGGTAGTGTGACTCAGCCACAACTGCTGAAGTAAACGACATGTTACAGAGTGTACAGCACTTGTTCTTATCCACCGAGTCATCATCACTACCCTGGAGAAGACAAGAAGGAAGACCCAGGGAGATTAGCTTATTGCAAAGCAGAAGGCAGAGCAGGCATTGCAGGCAAACTCCAGATAAACCTGACTTTTGATGCCAGATTTTGAGGGGTTCAGAAGTGCCAGGAATCTGAAAAGAGACCTGAGTGGGACGTGTGGATGGCGAGAATTGCCGTTACGTGCATAGACCCTTCCATCACAAAATGGCTCATCTACCTTTTTTCAGATAGCTGACCTCTAAAGACCCAGAAGATGGTAGGCATTCAAAAAACAACAACGAACAAAAACAAAAGCAAAAAACCACATCAACAATGTGGGTTTTAAAAAATCCAATAGGAAAAAGAGAGTCGCTATATATAAAATCACTTTATCACCAAAAATGGTATTGCCTCTATATGGCTCATGAGATCACCCAATCTTATAAGATGATAAAACTCTAAACTGAAATCCCGCCGATGAGGTCGCTGAAATCTTATTTTCCGCTGCTCCATAAAGGAAACGGAGCATGTTCTATTCCAGAGTGGCTTCAAGTGTGAAAAGACACTCTGTTTTGCTATTCAAGACAATTTTCTGAGCTTACGAATGCTTTGATTAATATTTTAATTCTTTGAATTGATTCTTTAAT